GCTCCCCCCCTTCCGGTGGGCGCTCGTCGTGGGGGTCGGTGCTACCGGGCACGGGAGGTGTATCCGGTAACACCGGGAAGGGAGCGTTGCTGGAGGTGTTTACCGGGCCCCGGGAGGGCTCTGCCTTCCTCCGGGGCTGGTCCCGCCTGCTCCTCTCGCCCTTTTAACTCTTTCAGGTGTTTGTTGTTTGTTGGGGTTTTTTTTCTGGCTTGAGGGGTGAAATTTTTTTCCACCCTCTTCCCAAAGGTTCCCGGGGCGTTTCCCGGGAAGAGCCCGTTAAAAAACGTTCCACCCGAGGGGCTTCGTTAATTGAAGCGTTTTCCCGGGGATTTAATTGCAGCGAGGAAGGTTCGACTTGAGCCTTTCCCCTGCCTCGCTGGGGAGAGGGACAAAAACCGTGGGGAATTCCGAGGGGAGGTGCCCCTGCCCCTGCAGGGGGAGTTGGGTCGGGATGATCCTTCAGGTCCCTTCCAACCCCAGCCGGGCCGGGATGCCAGGAAATACCCACACGCGGGGGCAAAACGGGTGGGAAATCTCGGGATGTTTGCGTGGGATTCGTTTCGCTGCCGTTCTTTTCGCCCCCATCCTGCTGTTGGGGCTTAAGGAGTGGGGGGTTAATTATCCTCGGTGACTTAAATTCAGCTGCCCCCCCCCCCCAAAGAGCTCACCCAGTAACACCTACCCAAGGGGGTGGGTTTTTGCCTCCAGAACTCAGCGGTTTTGGGGGCTGCTGAGGCCGGGGCTGGGATCTGTGCCCCGTTCCTGTCACCCTCTTGTTGTAGCTGAGCTGGGAAGAGGCTCAGGCACCACATACCAGGGTGTTGCTGCACCCGAGGTGTGTTTGTTAACCCGGGATCGGCTCATTTATTACCCTGGACGCTCCCCCACCCCGGGAGGGGGGGTGGTGTTTGTGTTCACTCCTCAGCCTCCCTCAGGGCAGGAGAGGTGACACCTCAGGTGCAGCCAGGTGGGGGGCTGGAGCTTCTCCAACACCCCCTCCCCGGTGCTGTAGCAACACCCACACCGGCTCATTGTTGTCGTGGGGGGGTGTGTTGTGTGTGTGTGAGCCCGGCCAGATGGTTCATTGTGCCTTCCCCACCAGCCTAAGACTCTTTTTCAGCTGGCAGGTAATGCTGCATTATTGCTCCTGACATTCAACCCCTTCATCTTTCATTTCATTTTGCCAGCTCAACATGCAAATAGATCAGCTGGGCTTTTCATTTTGATCCTGAGCTGCTATTTTAGCCCAGGGAAGAGTTTCCAGAGGGGGATAGAAATGAGCTGGGGATCCCATTTTGCACTGAGTTTGGGAAGAACACTCTGACCACCTCAGGAAGCCTTTTGGGGAGTTGTCTGTCACTTTTCCAACTGGTGGCTGGTAGGTGATTTGCTGGTTTGGAGCAGAACGGGGTCTGGTTTGGGGATTGTGTGTTAGGAAAAGAGCTTCTTGAGGTTGGTTTTTTTTTTAAGTGTGTGGCTTGAATGGTGCAGTGCTGGTTGTAAACAGGAGGGTGGGAGGTGGCCAGGGAGACTTGTTTGTACTTGGCCTTTCCTTTGTTTCTCCAAGCTGACTGGGTTTTGATATCCATGAACCCTGAAGGTTCATGCTTCAGCACCTTTTTAGATGAAATAAAGGCCTGTCTTTGCTAGCAGGTCCAGTTTTTTTTGGGGGGGGGACACACAAAATGCACAGGCTGGTTGGGACACAAAATGCAGGGGGGATGAAAGGTGAAGTCACCTTCCTAGGACTCCCTGTCTGCAGCTGCTCGGGGGGGTCTTTGCTCAAGAGGAGGCTGGTGCTGGCTCAGCCTGGGCTTGCTGTGGGTCAGACTGGAAAGCTGGGAATGCTCTCAGCTCCTTGGGCTGGGAAAAAAATCCCAAGGGGAACCCCTTCTAGGGCAAGTCTGGAGTCCCAGAGGCAGGAGTTGCTGGGTGCTCAGAGCCTGTTTCAGCTCCAGTGGTCTTTGCTTTCTTCTTGTCTCACTCTCCTTGGGAAAATATTAACTCCATCTAGTTGTTTTGTGTGTTTTGTTTTGAAAGAAAGATGTCTGAGGAATGTTGGGATGTAGTGAAAGCATGAAAGGGCTGAAAGATAACGGGTGTGGGCTAAATCCTTGCCCATTTTTTCATAGAAATATGGTCAGGCTTATCATCTCTGCCATCTCCTTTTAAGGTAGTGTTTTCAGAAGCACCAAAGGCTGGAGGGTAAACCCACCATTTCCAAAGCAATGATTTAGGAAGCCTGACAGGGATTCTGATCCCCCCAAAAATAAAAACGACCTGCTGGGACAGTGGCCACAGAGAGATTTCAAGCTGGTGTGTTTTTTTTTTTTGGGGGGGGGGTCTGTGAAACGAAGGGTAGAGAGAGAGAAAAAAAAAAAAAGTGTTCAGCTTTGAAAATACAATTAAACAGGCTGAAAATTGAATGCAAGTTGGAGCCTGAGGCTGTTAAACATGAAGCTGATTGTTTCACGGTCTCCTGCACAGGAAAGAGTATTGGCTTTGCACTCTATTTATCCTCTTCCTGGGGAGGGAAAAAAAAAAGAAAAAGATGAAAGCATTTGATATTCATACAGACAAATATTTGTCTATCTTTTCAGATCCTGCCCATCTCCCAAGGCCGGGGGTTGAACCCTGCCAGCTCCAACCCCAAGCAACCCCCTCTCTTCCCAGCCATGCAAAGCGCGGGATGAAGTTGGAAGCAGTGGTTGAGCAGCTGCAGAAGCAGCAGCAGAAGCAGCAGATCCCTCTGCAGATGGATTCCAGGGAGAGGCAGCAGAGGCAGCTGAGGGAAGCCCAGCTGCTCTACACTCAACAGCTGGCCGTGCAGCAGGCTGTGCTGGCAGCCACATCTGGCAGGGCTTCAGGAGGCTCTGCTGTCGGGCCTCTAGCCAGAGGTCCACCTGCAGCTGGAGCTGCCCGGGGGTTTGATCAGAGCAGTATGAATTCAGAGCCAGAAGAAGAAGAGGAGGATGAAGAGGAGGAAGATGAAGAGGAAGAGGAGGAGGAGGAAGAAGAAGAAGAAGAAGGGGGTTTGGAAGGTGGGGAGCTTGAGGATGGCGCCGATGTGACTGGCAAAGAAACCTGCTCTGCTCTGAAATATTTTCACCCCCCTAAAGTTGCTCACCACAACCAAAGAGTGGCCTCTACCTCGAGTCCCCTGCCAGCTGTGGGCCACCAGTGGGGCCAGCAGGGCAAGGAAGAACAGGGTAAAGACACTGCTAAGCCACCCTACTCTGGATCCCCCTCTGGGCGCCAGAACTGGCGGCTGGAGGAGCAGCTGAAACAGGTCAGTGGGAACTCGGTGGGTAACCTTCCTTCCTGCTGCATAAGAATGATGGTGTTCAGGCAGGTGGAGGACTCTGCCAACCCAGTGTCCTGTTACAACCACTGGCTGCTTGGGAGGGCTTGGAAAAGAGTGCAAGAACCAGGCACAGTGCAGAGCCACACTTCCCTGCTGTAGGAATCAACCTTTCTCCAGGTTCATTCTTTTTATAAAGAGATCTCACAAGAACTTGATTTGCAGATTTCCAGCTTGTGGTCTAGGAAGTCTGATCTGTAAGAACCTTTCTGGAGATGTAGGGGTTTGATCTTTGCTTATTTTTCTTCCATCTCATTGCTGCTGGGCCATTCAGAATGGAGCAGGCTGGTATTATGTTCATTTTCTGTGCAGACACTTGCCTTGCAACTAGATGATCTTTGAGGTCCCTCCAACCCAAACCATTCTATGACCCCTTTGTGTAAGAAGTCTTGGGATGCCACAGCTTTGGGGTTCTGGTGCTGTGGGGAGGCTGGGAAGAGCCCTGGATCCTTGTGCATGGAGTGCACTGAGATGCTGGTGGTTCATGGGTGGGAAGGAAGGAGCTAACCTAGCACTGCTTGGCTTTGGTAGGAGGTTAATTCTGTGCTTGAATGAAGAAATGCTACTTGTAGATAAATGCAAGAGGATCAAGAATTCTCTTCTAGGTTGAAAGTGGGTATTTCAGTGAATGGGCACTTGTGTTTGTGACAGAGCAGACAGGAGAGCAGACTTGGATGCATCAACAGCATTTATGTGGATTGAAATGGATCCAAAGGTCTGCATGGTTTAAATAAAGTTGGGTTAATTGTCCTCATCTACAGATGTCAGCCTGACTGAGGGGAAGGTTGGTTTTTGCTTCGGAGCAAAGAAACCTTGTGTGGCACACACAAGTAATTTATCCTTCCCTCCTGCAAAAATGAAGTGAAAAAGCTGGGGCTGCTTCATGGTGGGTAGTGAACTGTTGGTGTTGGAAGGTTTGCAGTGGGCACTTGGGGCAGCCTGTCCCCTTAGCTGATGGGTGATCCTTGGGCTGGAGCAGCTCTGCTCTGGAGCCAGGCTGGGAGAGTTGGGGTGTTCAGCCTGGAGAAGAGAAGGCTCCAGGGAGACCTTAGAGCACCTTCCAGTGCCTGAAGGGGCTCCAGGAAAGCTGGGGAGGGACTTGGGACAAGGGCAGGGAGGGAGAAGACAAGGGGGAAGGGATGAAAACTGGAAGAGGGGGGATTGAGGTTGGACATGAGGAAGAAATTCTGGAGTGTGAGGGTGGTGAGAGCCTGGCCCAGGTTGCCCAGGGAAGCTGTGGCTGCCCCATCCCTGGCAGTGTTGAAGGGCAGGTTGGATGGGGCTTGGAGCAACCTGAGCTGGTGGGAGGTGTCCCTGCCCATGCAGGGGGGTGGATGTAGATGATCTTGAAGGTCCCTTCCAACCCCACACATGCCATGATTCTTTGAAAAGATGATTTGGTTGATACTGTCACAGGCAGCAGTTTGAGGAGGAGTTGCTGAAGCTCCTGCCAAGCTGTGCCGGGTGTTCCTACACCACTGGATGTGGCAGGAGCTCCTGGAAGTTGGCAGGTGAGTGTGTCCCATAGCTTGGGTGAAGCAGCTGGTGCAAGGGGTGCTGCAGGCAACTGGTTGCTGCTGCATTTCCTCTCTGCTCACTTCTCCAGAGGAGCTGGGTTGGAAAAAAAAAAAAAAAATGAGAGTTGCTCAAGCTGTTGTAGGGAA